ATCAGGATCTAGATTTGGATTCAAGAAGTGGAATCGAATTCAGAGCTGGATCCGATCAGTCTAGAATATCTCAATCCATATTTGGATATGAAAAGTATACATGGGATTTGGATCCAGACCCTTAGATCCAAAAAATTATTTTACATATTATTTTATATCTATAAAATATAACAAAGGATATTATCATATATGGCCGTTGGGCCATTGACTAATATTATAGTTGTTAGCTAGTGGGCTAAAGCCATATATATATATATATATTTAGAAAAAACTGGGATTAACCTACTAGCTCATATGAACATATAAACCCAACAGTCCAGCTTTTTCTATATATAGAAAAACAACCTTTTTCAATGGATTTTTGAGGTGCATCTATAATTCTATATTTTAAAGTTGCAACATTATATAAACTGTCCATTAATAATTGGGTTGGATCCGGATGAAATCTACATGTACCTAATTTGATCGAAATTACTATTCGGATCTAAATTTTGGATCGGGATCCGACCCATCAGATCCAAATCTTTGATCCACTCCAGATCCAATTGGGATCCAAAATTCAAATTTCATATCCAAACCTAAAAAAATGCTTACTTTATTTCTAAAATGAAAAGGAAGAAGAAGAGTAAGAATTTTGGTTGAAATTTTGCTCGTTATTCACAACTTTGTATTAACCTTGTAAAAATAGAGAGGACAGAAGAAGAGTAAGAAAATGTTTTATCACATGGAAGATCCCGCAGTTCATATTTGTATGTGCCAACTTCAGGGATGACAACGATGGATCGAGAGCCGTCGATCTTTCCCTTGATATAGTTTTTTTTTGTTTTTTTGAGAGAATCTTTCCCTTGATATAGTAAGAGAGCAGCTCATGATCAATGGGTAGAAACTTGAAGCCCAAAAGAAGCGAATACCTCCCTTCCATATTCTCACCACTTTTTTTTTCTCTCATTTTGGCTGCACAAGGTTCCCACGATCCAACTTAGTTGGACAGCGGTGATTGCATTGGAAAGTACACCCTTCTTTAGTTAGGGAAAAGTTTGTATAGAGCCTAGGCTTTAAACAATCAAACTAGAGCCTACCTCAAAACTTTCACTAAAAGAGGTTGTTTTGATGCCCAAATATCATCAAAATGATCATCATGACATCAAGATGCATGAACATGAGAAAAAAATGGATTTCAAGTTTTGGAAATAGTGCATCTTATAACGCATTTTTAGACCGTCAATTTTCAAGATTTTCAAGTTTCATAGATATGCTCGATCTACATTAGTTTTGAACCTTTTAAATTTATAATTAAAGATGAAAATATACTTCAAAGCTATCACAAAACTTTTTAATATTGAAGCCATATTTCTCGGTGCTATTTGAAGGTAGGCTCTAATTTGATTCTTTAGAGCCTCGGCTCTATACAAACCGCACTGGTGTATAATATAATGTTAATTTTCTTTTTTTTTTGCTTGAGAAACCGATTGTGTAGTACCACAATCAGTAGATAAGCAACTCAACACCCCGATCTGCTTCTTAAAACATTGAGTTCAACCAAACTGTTATCAAGTTTAAAGAGGGCGCAAATGAATACCCAAAGAAAGATTAGGGCAAGGATAGGAGTCCAAACGGCAAGGGAATGGAGTACACCAATAGAAGGAACTAACATACTGGATTTTAATGGAATTTAAATGTATAAAGGAGGAAAAGGAATTCAAGGAGTTACCTTCATCTCACTTACTCAGTTCTTAGCAAAACAGTTAGAGCTATACTAAGAGGATTAAGACCCATTTAGATCAAAAAATTTAAGGGGATAAAGAAACTAAGGGTGACTTCTGACATGTGATCCAATGATGTACGCGAGAGGCTTCAGCTCCAAGGAGGCTTGGCCTTTACAAATTATCTAATCTGTAATTTTTATAGTAGATGAAAGGACCAAGTTTTTTATAGTAAATGAAAGAATCAAATTTATATTCAAACAGAAATACAATGACTATGACAAGGGTGAGTAATAAGTATGCTATATATAATTCTTTTCATAAAGAAACTGAATTTATCAGGAAGAAATGGAAGAAGTAAATACAGCTTAAGAATGAATTCTCTCTCATTGGCATCGAACAATTATAAATAATAGTTGGAAAAAAAAAAGGCTATCGAAGAAGTTCCTCATTGCTGGGAAAATAGAAGTTACTGTAAGAAATTTTTGGATTTTCTGTGTTTGATAACCTCTTGAGAAGTTAAAGAAGTAGAAGTAATAAGCAAAATGTAAAATGTTAAAATTGTGACCTAGATATTATTTATTTTTTTATTAACTTGTAGAATAATATCTTTTAGGATAAATATCAATTGAAAGTAAAGTACATTGGATTGAGAGAGAAAGAGAGAGTTTTATTGCTGAGAGAGTTTTATTGATGAGTGAGAGAAGATCCTAGAGAGATATATATTTGTATATTAATTGAAACACATGTTGCATGATAAACTCCATTGCACCTCAAAATTGAAGCACAACTTCAATTTAATATTATATACCAAATCACTAGTTTCCTAATCAACTATCTTAAAATAAAAATCAATATATATTTTCTTAACTATTGTGGGTATACAATTTATTGAGTCTCTTTACAATTATGATGTGGAATAAGTGTTTAAATTTCATAAGTAAGTTGTCAATGACTTTCTTCTTAAACCGAATACAAACTCTTTTTCGGTCTCTCACTATTTCTTACACACACACACACATATGCACACTCACATCTACCGGTGGCCATGAAAATTATGGATTTGGTTTCCTATATTCTATTAGACTTCATCACAATATACAAAAACCCAAGCTCAATGCAAGCAGTAAGAAATCAACCCATTCAACAACTTGTAATAACTTAAGCACTACTTGAACATACATGCACCACTGATGCATCCACATCCCAACCTAAAAAATATACGTTATTCAACAATAAAACAACATTGTTGTTTGTCTTTTAAAACATTTGTGTGTTCTCTCTCTAAGATTATAATGGCACACAACATTTATGTGTTATCTCTTAAGACATTTGTGATGCATATCAAGCAACATTCACAATTCATGCATCCATATATAATCACGTACAAAACCAGCCCATTCAACAATAACTTGTAATAGTTTAAACATACATAATTGAAAAACCTTTAACAAGGACTCAAAATTTGTGGCCACAAAATAAAGTCCATATCAAATGTAGAACAAGTTCTAATTAGAACAAAATAGTGTCCATAAAAGTTGTTGATTTTTCATGCATTATTCTTTTACAGGTTCACCTCAGATGTTGCATGACAATGAAAAAGACAAATACAAGAAGAACATTAGTTATATATAGGAAATACAAAATATCTCGTAATTAGGTCAAGTCAACAATGCCAGCTTGTTGTACTGCTATCAATTCATTATTTATTTGGTGTTGTTCTTGTGATTCTATGGGTAACTCCACTGTGGTGTATGTCGGCATCTCAAATTTGCCATGTTGTTGACATCTGCTACATACTTATCACACCATTGGAAGAAATTACAAGCATCATCCTAACACCGATGACATTTACTCTTCTAAACCCCCGTTCCCCGCAACCCCGGTCTCCTTCTCCATAAGTTCAATGAAGTAGCCCTCTTCTGACTGTGTCCATTGTAAGTTTGTCTTGCCTCCCATATTCTCATTCACCGTACTTAATGATGTGTGTGGACCCATCCTATTATAAGAAAACAACAGATTTGTTATATTCTATATAATCATTCAACACCACACATCCATTGCATATATTATTATGTACCATGCTCCAATATAGTTTATACAATTACTAAATTCTATCATTCGTTACATCACCACTCATCCTCTCAAAAGAGAATTGTGAGAGAGAATCATGAATTAGAGCACATACAAGCACTAAAATGCATAAATTCCAATAAAATTTAGCATTAGAGCACATACAAGCACTAAAATGCATAAATTCCAATAAAATTTATTTAGCATTAGAGCACATACAAGCACTAAAATGCATAAATTCCAATAAAATTTAGCATTTTATTCATAAACAGGAAGCAAGATTAGCACTATATCACAGATAAAATACTCAAATAAACCCAAATACAAAATAACCAAAACTGTGAAATTTACCTGGATTGCAAAGAAGAAAGCTTGAAGGGAGGGATGAGGGGCAAGAATTCTACGGAGAACTGTTTATCATAAACAACGAAATTATTTTTCCCTACAGAGAACAATTTACCACAAAACAAAAGTATAATCTTTATTTGGCCGGTTTATAAGAATGAATAAGAAAAAAAAGACGACGAAAGAAACAATCAAAGTTGAGAAGTTCCAAGGACATTGCTGGATAAAAATGCAAGCATAACACTTGTCACATTCCTAATATATTTCACTTCGGTCCCATTTCATCTGATTCTGTGGGTCATTTGAACTTGACATGTTGATAAAAACCCTAACCTTTTATCGAGCAATTCAAATCATTATTGTGGTAGCATTTGCTACTGCATCAAAGGTTTTACTCATTGCTTTGGTTATTGGGTTCAAATTGAAAGAAGAGAAGAAAAACACAAGGTGAGCTTCTGTTTACTCATCAATCTTATCTAATAAATGGCCTTATGACCAATTTTTCATGAGAAGTTGCATTCATTTGCTGCTTTTTCAGTATTTTTATCTCTTTGTTTCGTTAACACTTTGCTGAAGTCATTGTTTGAATGACTCAAAAAAGCAAATCCCAGAAGTTGAAGAGCAAAGAACCAATATGATAAACTCCTGCAAGAAAGGATCAAAACAAATAACCATAGATAAGTAGCAGAAATATTAAATAAAAAGAAATTGAAATAACCAAAACATATCAAATAACCAAGAACCAAGAAACATAAACCTCTTATACAAGTAGAAACCAATTCAAAAAACCAATCCTATATTCATTCTATTTATTCAAAACAGGCGAACGAAAGGATCAAATCAAATAACCATAGATCAGTAACAGAAATATTAAATAAGAAGGAATTGAAATAACCAAAACATATCAAATAACCAAGAACCAAGAAACACAAACCTCTTATACAGGTAGAAACCAATTCAAAAAACCAATCCTATATTCATTCTATTTATTCAAAACAGGCTAACGAAAGTCACTGTAAGTAGAATCCTTATTTGGCCACTTTACAAGAATAAATAAAAAAAAAAAAGACGAAAGTGAACAACAAGAACCTGTAATCACCCAGTACAATCCCCTTTCCCCTTTAAAACATGACCCAACAAAAGAACCAACTGTTGGAAACCACCAACATTTCAGCCAAGCCCCGAGAAAACCAATTTTTTCTCTCCTAAGACTAACATTCCCCATCCGAGTAAGATGCAATCAATTAACAAATTTCACAAGATCGAATCACTTTGCTTTAACCAATGTTTGAAAATGGGGCTCAGGAGAAAGAACTCACCCCCTTGCAACTCAGTTGAATCTTAATCAACTCATCAAAGTCTATGTTGAGTAACCCAATGAGCCAAATAAACAAAAAAAATAGAAACATTAGTGAAAAATCTAAAAAATCAGAAAAAAACCAGAGAGAAAAAACTGATCGTAAAGGAAAAAAATCATGGGATCCATTTTTACTATGTTCGGAACCTAGAGAAAAAATCAGAGAGCAAAAAAAAACCATGGGATACAGAAAAAACCAGAGAGAGAAAAAAACTCAAGGGAGAGAAAAACTGAGATGTACCTTTGTGAGGAGGCTCGTAGGCACAAATAGAAGGCGCAAGATGGTCTCTTTTCTATGGCTAGGGTAGTCGGGGGTACGCAAATACCTCGAGAAAGATGAACAACACAGATCAGAGCTCAATAGGAAGGAGCAGAGCTCAAGGAAGATATCCAACGGAAAGAGAGAGAAGGATGAAGAAAATCAGAGCTCAATAGCATACCTCAAGATGAATAACACAAAGAGAATCAGATCTCTTCGCTTCCTCCTCCGTCTTCTTGGACCCTTGAGTGTGATAGAGAAGAGAAGTTTACAGTACTCAATAGAAAGGATCAGAGCTCAATAGCAAAGATCAAAGCTCAAGAAGAGATGAGTAAACCCTATTGAGGGCTGAGTGCGAAGAGAGGGGTTTGGCTGATAGCAGCCTGGTGCGAAGAGAGGGGTGGCTCAACGGCTGATAGCGAAGAACATAAGAAGAAGAACCTGGTTTAGTGCACAACTTATCGGGGGTGAAGTTTTATAAAAACTTCTAATTTCAAGTTCCGACCTTTTGATCGGAACTTTTTTAACGCGCAAAGATGGGAACATAAACAGTAAAGTGAAGTTCCCTACTTACCTTCCGTTTTTTTATCAAACGCAGAAGATGAACAGTATTAGGTAAATTCCAACTTCCAGGAAGCAACTTCCTGTTATCAAACACGTCAAAGGAAGCAATCATAGGAAAGGGCAGATCCTTCAATCGTGCGACGATTACGTACTTTCCATTTCTACCAACACACTACACCTTTAATAATTTGCCACAAGATAGACCCCAACTTTGGTAGGACAGGAGGAACCAGCTGAGAGATGATACCAGCATATCTTGAGGTATAGCCACCCTGGATCCTAATGCACAAAGAAAGAATTCCCAAATTTTCGAAGCGAAGTGGCAATGAACGAAGAGATGTGAAACAGATTCACCATCTTCTTTACACATCAAGCAAACGTTGGGCAGAATCCTACCTCTCTTGATGAAATTCTCTATGGTCACCTTTTTTTGCCTAGCCAACCAAATAAAACACTGAACTTTATGAGATATAGGCCACTTCCAAACTTGCGTAATCTGAGGCAGAGACCATCTATGGCAATCAAGGAATAGAAGAGAATACATGGCCTTCACCGAAAATAATCCATCCTGTTTATGCTCCCAAACCATCTCATCCTCAATACTACAAGAAATCATTGCTTCCTTCAAATAAAGCACTGAACAACTTATATGTTGTTGGGTTGTTGGGGCTACATAGAAACATTTCCAAATAAAAAAATTGCTTACTTTAATTCTAAAATATAAAGGAAGAAGAAGAGTAAGAATTTGGGTCTGAATTTTGCTCGTTATTTGCAAGTTTGTATTAACCTTGTAAAATAGAGAGGGGAGAAGAAGAAGAAGAGTAAGAAAAGGTCGTTTACATGGAAGATCCCACAATTCATATTTGCATATGCCAACCTCAGGGATGACGGAGATGGATCGCGAGCCGTCGATCTTTCCCCTGATATATAGTAAGAGAGCAGCTCATGATCAATGGGTCAAAACTTGAAGCCCAAAAGGAGCGAATCAGCTCCCTTCCATATTCTCACCGCTTCTTTTCTCTTTCATTTTGGCTGCACTAGGTCCCCACGATCCAACTTAGTTGGACGGTGGTGATTGCATAGAAAGTACATCTTTCTTTAGTTTGGGAAATGTTTATATAGAGACTAGGCTCTAACCAATCAAATTAGAGCCTACCTCAAAACTTTCACTAGAAGAGGTTGTTTTGATGCCCAAATATCATCAAACTGATCATCTCGACATCAAGATGCATGGACATGAGAAAAAATGGATTTCAAGTTTTGGAAATAGTGCATCTTGTAACGCATTTTTAGACTGTCAATTTTCAAGATTTTCAAGTTTTCATAGATATGCTTAATCTACATTAGTTTTGAAGCTTTTAAATATAACTAAAGATGAAAATATACTTCAAAGCTATCACAAAACATTTCAGTATTGAAACCATATTTCTCGACGCTATTTGAAGGTAGGCTCTAATTTGATTGTTTAGAGCCTCGGCTCTATACAAACCGCACCCTTTTAGTTTTGGTGTATAATATATAATGTTAATTTTCTTCTTTTTGCTTGAGAAACCGATTGTGTAGTATCACAATTGGTAGATAAGCAACCCAACACCCTGATCCGCTTCTTAAAACACTGAGTTCAACCAAACTGTTATCAAGTTATTCAACCAAACTGTCATCAGTTTAAAGAGGGTACAAATGAATACCGAAAGAAAGATTAGGGCAAGGATATGGAGTCCAAAGAGCAAGGAAATGGGAGTACACCAATAGAAGGAACTAACAGACTGAATTTTAATGGAATTTAACTGTATAAAGGAGGAAAAGGGATTCAAGGAGTTACATTCATCTCACTTACTCAACTCCTGGCAAAACTATTAGAGCTATACTACAAGGATTAAGACCCACTTAGAACAGAAACTTTAAGGGAATAAAGAAACTAAGGGTGACTTCTGAAATGTGATCCAATGGTGTACCCGAGAGGCTTCAGCTCCAAGGAGGCTTGCTACCATGATGGCCGAAATCCTAGATATCCCTAAAACCAATCAAATTAGGATCAATCACCGCCATGGGAAAGCTAATACGGAATCAGATGGTCTGGCTTAAGGAGGTGTTGACCATATTGAAATGGTGGTAAGAGGTCCCTTTTCACTATGGTTCTATTTTACTTGAGGACTGGCCTTTACAAATTATCTAATCTGTAATTTTTAAGGCTTGTTTGATAACTGGAAGCAAGTTCATGAACTGCTTATGGAGGTGTTGACCGTATTGAAATGTTGGTAAGAGGTCCCTTTTCACTATAGTTCTATTTTACTTGAGGAATGGCCTTTACAAATTATCTAATCTGTAAATTTTAGGACTTGTTTGATAACTGGAAGCAAGTTCATGAACTGTAAATTGGAAGTTCCTCCTTGCTGGGAAGATATAAGTTATTGTAAGAAGTTCCTGGTTTTTGTGTTTGATAACCTCTTGGGAAGTTACAGAAGTTCCTGGTTTTTGTGTTTGATAACCTCCTAGGAAGTTAAAGAGGTTCTTGGGCCTCCTCTATAGGGTTCCACTGGCTCATATTGCTATGGTAATCTTTAACAATTATAATAAAAGGTTGATTTCTTTAAATTAGATGGTACTAAATATTAAGCATAAATAACTAATAAAAAGTACAAGGCATTATAGCTCAAACATAAATAGAGAAAATGCAAAGAACGCCAGAACAAAGTAACACAATGAATTTTAGTAATCATTGGAAGCTCAAAGTACAATTCAGTAACCAAGTTCTACAACAACGAGAATGCAGATCTATATCGTCTAAGACGCTTTAAAGAGAAACAACGCAAAAAACTGTCACATAGAGCTTAAGGAAACTCAATGCGTTGAATATGCCAAAACTGTACAAAGTAAAACGATCATAGAATTCAACATAAAAGATCAGAATAAGAATGCATTGACCACAAGTCAACATGCTGAACTGTATAGCATTTAGCACACAAAAGGTTCCCAAGGATGCAAAAAAAGACAATGTTGGAAATGTACAAGCTCAACCAGAAACATAACCACCCTGTACTATTGAACCATAACTAAAGCATAACAAAAGAGAGCATAATAACAGAAATCTAATCAAATCCTATAAAAAAAAGCAAGATAATTAGTAAGGGCGTATTCTTCAAGAATAGGTTTCTCTTAGTTCAAGTTGTCTATAATTCAAATTCACATTCATAAAAACCCAAGCAAAAGGTGCATGGAATATGGCAGGTATACACAATCAGTAAGGAGCTAAATGGGCAATGAATTAGACCAGATAGCATAGAAATAGATAAGTAACACAAGAAGGAAGTATCTCATATAAGAAGAGACCCAAGGTCTCATCTGCGGTTAAAGCAATGTCTTCCATTATGAGCCATCCCATATGAAATGTCATAATCAGAACATTGTCATCAAGTCCACCCCCAGCTAATGCTCTCTCTCTCTACACCCACATATCGCATGAAAACATCTCACCTGATAACTTCACCTTCCCCTTAATGACTACTCATGCTAACTATGTGATGCCATCATAATCATTGCAGCCAATCTTATTGTTTCTTTAAAACCAATTACAGCTGACGATCCTTACAGTAAATAACAGATAGGATTCTAATATTCATGATAGAGTATTGCCACAATTTGCAGCATAATGAAGAAAACCTTCTCAATAACTCAGTAATAACTTTCTAAAGGGCATTGAAAAGGTTAATGGATAAATTGAATTGTCATCCAAACGACATCCGAGCAATTTCTCAAATAAGGATGTGACATGGATTAGTTAAACAGAAATACAGAAAAAATGACAAACAACATTTTAATTAGCCATGAAAGTAAAGTTGATCACTACGGAAATCAGTGTTCAATAAGAGCACTGAAACCAAATCCTCATTCATTATGAACCCGAAACCACCTTCCAATTTCCAAATTTGACATGACCATTCCCAAAAACTAAAGTTTCTTGACAGAAGTCCTACCAAACTAAAACCAATAATACTCATTTGATGTGAATAGTCACTGAAAAATAGCATATGGGTGTCAAATTTCTTCTCTCTCACGGTGTCATGGCATGGACAATAGTCACTGTGCTTGGTCTCACGGAACTCGAAGAAGTTGGGGATGGTGGTCTCATAGTCTCTGACAGGTTGGGAGTGAAGGATCAGAGTGGTGGTGTTCAAAGTCCATAAAGGGTCCAGATTGGTGAAGAGCAAGGAGATCCAGCCTTACCCCCATTACCAAAACAATCTGCAGTTGAATTGGAGAATGAGTTTAGGATAAGAGAATATGGTTTTTTGTGGAGATCTGAACCAAGCAAGCAGGAGAAGAGGTAGAGGAGAGAGATACAGGAAAATATGAATTACCCAAGCTAATCAAAACCACTTTTTTGACGGATTACCCAAGCTAATTTGAAAATCTGAACCAAGTTTTTTTCTAATCCTCTTTTTTAAATAAACTATTTTTGGAGTGGCTTCTCTAAATAATATTCGATTTGGAGCTCCAAAAGATTGAAATCTTTTGCATTTGTCCAAAATTGAGTTTGAGGGTTGAGCTTTCTTGGAGCTCTAATTCAATTTTTTCAATTTTTTATGGGATTGTTTCCATAATAAAAACAATATAATAAATTTTAAGGTTTGCATGAACTAGGGTGATGCTAATGTAGCGTCTCACATTGAATCAAGCTAATAAAAATTACAGCAGTCTGGAATGAAGTATATTGATTCCAACAAGAACCCAAACTTGTGCATCCATATTCTTATCATGCAGCCAACAAACAAGCCGTCTAATATCTTATCATGCAGACAACCAACAAGCACTCTAATACGGATAGATTGTCAGGGAACTTGATTTCAAACACTCAAAACAATCAGTTAACCCTGAATCTAGATTTACAACATAGAAAAATAGCGAAATAAAAGAACCAAATTTATAGGAAATAAAATAACCAAATTTATAGTAAATAAAAGAACCAAATTTATAGTAAATAAAAGAACCAAATCACGAAATAAAAGAACCAAGTTTTTTAAAGTAAATGAAAGAACCAAAGTTATGTTCAAACAAAAATACAATGACCATGACAAGGGTGAGTAATAAGTGTGTTATCCACAATTCTTTTCTTAAAGAAACTGAATTTATCAGGAAGACATGGAAGATGCAACTAGAGCTTAAGAATGAATTCTCTCTCATTGGTATCAGACAATTACAATTAACAGTTGGGTAAAAAAAAAAAAAGGCTACCCAAGAAGTCTTCCATGGTTTCTCTGTTGGATAAGTTTGCGAACCTCAAGCGGATTTGTGGCCATTGAGCTCTTAATCAAGGGACGAAGAGGTTGAAAATATACAAAAGATCTTTTTCGTTCACAAAAAGGATGAGTGGTTCAAGTTTAACTTCACCTAATTGGTAAGATATTGTCCCCTAGTTTAATACAGGCCATCCATTTTACGAAGTTTGAATGGACGGCTCAGATGCTGGCAAGCCTGTACCATTTTAAATATGGCCCGCCATCTGAATCCAAGGCCAAACTTACTACTCTCAGCGCTTCCGGCACACTCTGAGCTACTATAGAAGTTCAAATCTCTCTCTCTCTCTCTCATTAACCATTATTTACATCCGGCTGCACCCCATGATCTCTCTCTCTTTACACAATCAATCCCACTACACATTCAAAGCCACCACATGTTTTGTTTCCTCCTCTCTCTTCTTTTGATCAACCTCACAATATATGATGAAACTCAACACTATAGCCAACTACAGCCAGGGATCTTTCTCACCCCTCTCTCTCTCATCATCTCCCTCACACACCAAACATCAGCCCACCGATTTGCCGCTGCATATATATTTGAAAGCAACACATAATTCCCACCATTGTGAGGCTCGATATCAAAAAGCCTCTTGGCCACCATCTCACCCAACTCTATGTGACCCTGGAGCCGACATGCACCTAATAATGCACCCCATGCACCCACATTGGGCTGAATAGGCATCGTTTTCATGAGCTCATAAGCCTCTTCGAGCCTACCAGCTCGACCAAAAAGGTCCACCATGATAGCATAATGATCACTAGAAGGGAAAATCTGGTATTTCTCTGACATTTGCTTGAAAAACCGGCGCCCTTGGTCAACCATCCCTTCTCTACTACAAGCTGATAATGCCACTATGAAAACCACACCATCAGGCTTAATCCCTTCATTGAGCATCTGAGAGAAGAGTTTGATGGCTTTTTGGCCATGCCCATGTATAGAGAGCCCATGTATCATAGAACTATAACACACCAATTCTCTCTCTAGGAGCCCTCCGAAAATTTCATATGCTCTCTCTAGATTTCCGCATTTGGAGTGCATATCGATCAAACTGGCAATCATTTGAGCTCGCCCCACCTCCATTTTGTTTGCATAAATAAAACCATCAACCCATTTTGCTAAGCTTAAGCTACCCAATTGAGCACAAGCGGACATGACACTCACCATTATGTGTTCATCAGGTTTCTCACTTTTTGTTTGCATCTCGACAAAGAGTTTTACAGCCTCATTAGGCTGACCATTTTGAGCATAACCAGATATAAGAGCAGACCATAGGAACACGTCTCGTTGAGCCAATTGGTCAAAGAGAAACCTCGCTGAGGGCATATCGCCACTTTTAGAATAGCCATCAATCATTGTAGTGAAAGAAACCATGTTTTTCTCTGGCATCTCATTGAACAATTCACAAGCATTTGATAAATCACCTGATTTCACATAACCCGAAATAATGGCATTATACGAAACCAAATTTCTCTCAGGCATTTGATCGAACAAATTTCGAGCCATGACCATGTTACCAGAGCTTGAGTACCCAACAATCATGGCAGTCCAAGAAACTATGCTTTTCGTAGTCATTTTGTCAAACACTTTACATGCACACTGCATATTAAAACATTTACCGTATATATCAATCAAACCAGTTTGAACAAACAAATCCGATTCAATTCCTCTCTTCACTATTGTAGAGTGAATAATCTCTCCAATCTGAAGAGATGGTTCGTTAGCACAAGCCTTAAGAAGAGAGGGAAAGGTATAGTTATCAGGTTTGGTGTTGCTTCGCTGTAATTGTGTGTACAAGAAGATGGTCTCCTTGAGAGAGCAAGACTCACAGTAAGCTTTGATGATAGAGTTCCATAGATAAATATTAGGGTACGAAACCTGGTAAAAAACGAGCTTTGCATATTGAGCCCTTCGAATAGAAGAGCAGTAACCAACGAGCAATGTGGCATAGAAGTTGCTCTGATGTAAATGATTTCTGAAGAGGTGACCATGAATTTGCTGTAGGGCTTTGAAGGTGGTGCATTTTTTGAGGAGAGTGCAGAGATAGAATGGGTTCGGATAAGCTGTTTCTCTAAGTATTTTATCAGGTGGAGTGGGAGAAATGGGGTTTGGTGAATGGGGGTTTTTGCAAAGGGGAGAGGGAGAAAGATGGTTTGGTGAATTGGGTTTTTTGGGTAGTTCATTGGGGGAAGAGAGAGAAATTAATGAATGTGAGCTCAGGGGGGATTTATCAGGAAGAGAGAGAGAAAGGGTGGGTGGCGAAGAGAACTCCTCTGATGGTTGATCAGAGGTTGAGAGAGAAAATAACGTTGGGCAGATGAGTTTTTTTGTTGGTTTTTCAAGGATAGACAGAGAAAAGTTTGTTGCTGAAGTAGAAGCACGGGGAAAAGTCATGGGGAAAAGTCATATGGTAAGTTGAGAGAAGGCAAGTTGAGAGAACTAAATTGAGAGAAGTCATGGACTTTGAGTGAGTGACTAGTTACTTGCAGAGGGAGTCGGGGTTTTAGGTCCACTACCAATGGCGGGTGATTGTCGAACAGTGGGTGATTCAGAGGCTTCATTTAGGGGCTTCCCAAGACATTACATCTCAAGCTAAAAGATTTCAGGGAAAATTGGGGATTTGTCACCTGTTCAACTTTTTCCCACGGCTCACTGTCCTTGTTATCACACTGCGAACAAATCAAACACATGTTCGTCTTAATTTACCACAACATCACGACGAAAAGCCAAGTCTACCTGTTGTACCTTGTAACATGGTCGTCGCCTCCCCCGCCCTTGCCCTTCTTCTTCAGGGCTTGTTCTTCAGCAGCTGATAGATAACGTATACCATTAGCATATTAAAAAAAAACCTTTGAATGATTTAATCGGCAATTTTTACAAAAAATAAAAAATAAAATAAAATAATCGGCGTTATTATGGGAACAGGTTTAAACGCGCTTGTTTTTATAATACGATTTAAGGTTTAAACGCGCTTGTTTTTATAATACGATTTAAATCAAGCCCAAAAATCGTATTTTTTTTTACCTATAATTTTTATGAAAGAAAATTTTTTATTTTCTTCCTGTTTTGTGTATTGCAGCCATTGCTAATTTCATGCTTCTGCAAAAAGAATATTATTTCAAAACAAAAACCTCAAATACAGATTTTTATCCCCACTATGTTCTTCAAAGCCACATTGGAGATTAAAGGCATGGTTTTTTTTGTTTCCCTTTTTTTTTTAAACTTAAACAAATAGATGTAGATTTCAGTTGTTATTATGGGAAATCATTGTGTAAATGAAATAATACTGTTTATAGCAAATCATTTTGTAAAGTAAATCATTGTGTAAAGAAAATCATGTACATGCAGATTTATGTGATTATTTGTGATAATTGTTTTTATGAAAATACGGTTTATGGTACAAATTAGAGCTCAAAACATAGTCTTTCACTGATGAATGACTGAGAAGCAGAGAGTGTGACTACAGTACCAAGTAATCAATATTTTGTTTTTGACCATGTGATAATAAAGATAAACAATATAGTAGAAACTGTAAACTTACAGGAACAAGCAATTGTACATATAGGATTAGTTCCCCAAACCTAATCTTTCAGCTCTGCTTGCTCTTTCCCAATAAAATGAAAACCTCTTCCTTTCCTCTCTCTAAAAATAATATACTCAGGACTTTCTCTCAAACAACATTCCCAAACAGAGAGAAAGACCCTCTTCAAACTATCCCAAATCAACATCCCATCTTCTCTTTTTCTCTCTAAAAATCAGTTAGGCATCTCATCTTCCCTTTCTCGCTCTAAAAATTAGTTGGGGCCTCTTCCATTAGGGTTTATGAAGCCCATGACCTCTTTCTTCTTCTCTCTGCTATGAGCGCAGCCCCATTTTCTCTCTTCTTTTTTCCTTCTCTCTCTAAACCATAAAGACAAGATGTGAAACCCAAATTTCTACTTGCCTCTTTTCAATTAAAGAAATTTATAAAAGGTTATGGTGTGGCCATACTATAGTTAAATAACTGTAGTGAGAAAACAAAAATCGTGTTTTTTTTTTGGTACGTGTTAAGGAGGTGTGATGTTTAAATATTTCATAAATAAATGAATAAATTTATGTAGTATATTTGTCTTATATTTGGTTTTGGTATGTAATAAGTAGGTGTGATGTTTCTTAAAGTATTTAATGAGTATATTTATATGGTATATTTTTTATATATATTAATTAATTATGTATTTAATATTAGATAATTGGATGATAGCCACGAAGCATCTAAATTAATTGACTTAATTATATTAGTCTAATAAAGTTTTTATGGATAATTAATTATTGATGGCTTTGACATAATTTTTTATTGTTTAGAATTTCTAACAGTATACATTTGTCTGATTTTTTGAGCCTAATCCGATATATTAGCAATATCTTTATATGAAATATTTTTGCCTATCCGTATTTTACCCAATTTTTTCATCTAACTTTTTAAAATAAAAACGATTTATTTCGGATTTTATGGTGAGCCGATTTATTAATAGTCCCCAACTTGCTAACTATGGCGTGATCCAACATTTTGGTAAAACTAGTTGTTTGTAATAGGGTATATTTTAATATAAGAATACATTAAGTTATTATCTCAAGGGTGCAGTTTGTGTATATGAAGCTCTCAACAATCAAAGTAAAGCTCACCTTCAAATAGTGTCGAGAAATGTGGTTTCAATACTGTAAATCTTTGTGATAGCCTTAAAATATATTTTCATCTTTAATTCTAAATTTTAAAAAAATAAAACCTTAAAAATGATGTAGATTGAGATCTATGAAAATTTGAAAATCTTGAAAATTGACAATCCAAAAATGCGTATAAGATGCACTATTTCCAAAACTTGAAATCCATGTTTTTTCTCATATGCATCATCTTGATTTTGAGATGATTAATTTAATGTATTTAAGCATCAAAATAACCTTTCTAGTGATATTTTTGAGGTAGGCTCTAATTAGAGCCTCGACTCCATATAAACTTTTCCCTTATCTTAGTATAATATGATATTATCTAATTAGAAAAAATTTATATAAGGTTGCAACCTTAAATGTAGAATTACATATGCACCTCAAAAATCTATCGAAAAATGTTGTTTTAATGATAAAAACCTCTAATTGATCATCTCAACATCAAGATGTATGAATATGAAAAAAAAAAAAGTTTTTGAGTCTCGAAAATAGCGCATCTTGCAACACATTATCTAGACCGTCCATTTTTTAAATTTTTATATATTTATAGACCTACTTGATTTTAACCATTTTTAAAGTAAAATTTTATAATTAGATATGAAAATAGATTTTAAGATCATCCTAAAAAATCTTTACATAATAATTATATTGATAAAATTTGAAAGTGCACCTTAATTGGATGGTTTAAGGTTACAAACTTATAGAAACCGCACTTTATATTATTCTATTAATATTAAATTATTGTGTATTTTATTACAACGTATCTAAATCATCTAATTTGTTTCTCATGAACTTTTTCCAATAGGTAATTTTAACTGAAGCGATACGAATATATAATCATCAAATAATAAAATGAATGGCTAAACCGGTTTAACAATAAAGTGGCAGAGAGGATTGGTTAGATACGGGTTGTTTTACGGTTTATTCTGAAGTCACCAAAATGATTGTTTTTAAAACCTGGTTTTAGGGATACAAGAATTTGTATACCCAGAAATACATAACCCGGTTTTGAGAAATAAAGGTCCCAAACAACCTATTAGATAAGACAATCTAGAGTGAGAATAATAATCATATTTAAGAAATAGCAATTATCATAAAAGAGCTTGAGATGAAGACATTCCATAGTGAGAAGAACAATCCTAAGGTGTCACTTTAAGGAAAAAATTTATATAAGGTTGTAACCTTAAAATGTAGAATCACATATGCACCTCAAAAATCTATCGAAAATGTTGTTTTAATGTTGAAAAAACCTTCTAATCGATCATCTTGACATTGAGATGTATGAATATGAAAATAAAAAAAAAGTTTTTGAGTCTCGAAAATAATCCATCTTGCAATAGATTATCTAGACTGTCCATTTTCAAGATTTTCATATATTTATAGATCTACTTGATTTTAACTATTTTTAGGATTTAAAATTTTCTAATTAGGTATGAAAATAGATTTTAAGATAATACTAAGAATTTTTATATAAAAATTACATGCTAAGATAAATTTTAAGGTACCCCTTAATTGGATTGTTTAAGGTTGCATCCTTATAGAAACCGCACCCGCCACATAAATAATTAAAACAATTGATCTAGAACTCTTGAATCAAGTGTCTTGGATTTCATAAGGCTCAGAGCACTATGAACCATTTACAACAAAATAGAGATACACACTTACTTCTGTTTAAAAATTATTTATGAAATATTTTCATTTATAGTGGATAGTTTGATGTATTTAAGTTAGAAAATTATTAATT